AACAAAAAGAAACCCTCAGTATTCTTAGCAAAATATTCCAGTGTCAATGACAAAAAGTGATGACAAGTTATTGATAGTGAATTATTATGTATAGGGTGCACTGAATATTTATAGAAATTTATACCTACCTGTCTGTATATAGGTATAGCAACAGAACTTTTTTGCTGATGGGACCACTGAATTTTAGTGCCCCTAGAAAGCTAGTTTTTTTCGTGAAAAACTATGAATTAGTTCAATTTAGTCAATCTTATTCGCTGTGGGTTCAATGAATGTTTTTTCTGACTTTGGAAGATATAGGTGATTTCGTAAAATCTGTGTGTGTATATTTATTAGATAACTATAGTAATGCCCATTTTCATGAATCATATACCTATATTCTGATATATCTAATTCAATTTTCTACGTACAACCTTCATTTCATATTCACATCATGAGTTCTCTCAGCCCTGGTCATTTTTTACACCTTTGAATAACAGTAATAACACCCAGTAGCATGTTACCAATTTTTCCATTTGTTGTGCTGTATTTCTTCGGGTTTGATTTAGAGTTTCCATTAGTTCCAGTGAATTAACTTTTTCGCTAGATGCTGGTATGAAATATGATAGCTAGATAGGTATTTGAAGTAATATTATTGCTATCACATGAAGATGGCGGAAATACGATATACTGGTACTGTTATAGTATATATGCAATATACAGTAAAAGTGTTCCACTAAAATCCAATAGGAAAATAGCAAGCAGTTTAGTTCAAAAAAAAATTCAAATTGATTTCGTGAATAAAAAGATTTTCGAATAATATCATCAGAAAATCAGCCCCAATAAAAATAGAATGATAATAATAAGTTCGAAACATAGCGATGGACTATTCTACAAGCTATGTAATTTTCATGAATTCGATTTACGTGTGCCAAATGAATTTATCGTGATATTTGCTTTCAATCACAGTTTGCAAAAGTCATTGACTACACATATAATATAAGCCTGAAAAATATCCTAGTAAATAAACAGTTGATGGCAGACTGCAATAACAGAAAGCCTATAGCAGTGTACGAGCATTCGATACAGTTGAACATATGTACCGCAGCATCTTATTTGCAAAACCGTTCGCATATAGTCATTTTGGATCTTATGGAATCTAATCCTCTGCGAGTTACAACGGGAGTTCCTCTAGGATCGATCTCAGGTCCCCTATTTTTTGTTATTTTCATGAACGATGTTAAATATTCTTGTACTCCTCCAAACAAAGAGGCAATTTATGCTGATGACACAAATCAACTGAACGATCTGGAAGCACAAGAATTCCACCATATTGATGTCACAAAAACGGCCTATTGGTGAATACATCTAAACCACAGTATATGTTATTTTTACCAAAGAACATTAGCTATGACTATTATAGTCCTTCGATCGAAATAGATGATATATCCCTAAACAAATTGTCTAAGACAAAATTCTTGGGTATCATCGTGGATCAGAAGCTGACATGGGAACCGCATTCGGACAATATAGTTTCAAGATTGAGTAGGTAGTGTTTGTTTTGTATTCAGGCAATTGAGGAATACGGAATACAGTTCCACTGGATGTGCTCAAACTTGCCTATCATGGGTTAGTGCATTCCATCGTTACTTATGGTCTGATTTACTAGGGAAACTCAAGTCATGCATATTGAGTTTCCATAATGAAGAAAAATAATCAGATGCCTGGTGGGTGAGCACTCTCGAGAAAGCTGTCGTCAAATCTTTTTCAAACTATCACTCCTCACTCTACGAAGTTTGTACATATTTTCAACATTACTAAATATGGAAAAAGACGAATCAAACTTCAAACGAAACAATCATTATAAAATGATTTTCATAGAAACAATATACAGGGTGTCCCTAGACCAGTGGGACAGTTAAATATCTTCTGAACCAATAGGAATTTCGAAAATATTATAATTTCACATCATATCGCAATATGAGTGCTAACTTCGGGAACGACTATATTTTATACGAGGGGCGCAAGGAAGGCTCACAAAATCAAACATCAATTTTTTCAAATGGAACACCCTGTATTTCATTGCATTTTCATATTCTCCTTGAAGAGCTGAATTCAACGACCTAGCACACTTGGGGTCTAGCGGGAATGATTTTTCCGAGATATAGGGTGTGGAAAATCGGGATTTTTCATTTTTGGGACTTTTTTCTGTCAAAACTATTCATTATTGGTCAAACCCGCTTACATGTCCATCTCTTAACTATTGATTTACTATTTACTCGTATTTAATTGAAACAAATACAAGGTGGTGTAGAATTCTCAGTTTCAGTCAGTCGTCGAATTCAGCTCTTCAAGGAGAATATGAAAATGCAATGAAATACAGGGTGTTCCATTTGAAAAAATTGATGTTCGATTTTGTGAGCCTTTCTTGCGCCCCTCGTAGAAAATATAGTCATTCCTGAAGTTAGCACTCATATGCGATATGATGTGAAATTATAATATTTTCAAAATTCCTATTGGAATAGCAAAGCAATACATTGAGAATTCGCATTCTCCTTGTGATGAAAATATTAATTCTTCCTCGGTTTATTCAACAGGAAACAACTACTTTCCTGGCTATATGCCACGACGAATATTGAATTACATCTATTGAACACACACGATAAGAATTTGAAACAAAATCTTCTGAAGTAGAGAATTTGCATTCTCCCGTATTGAAAGATATGGTATGCATATAATATCATTCTGAATATTCAACAGAAAACAACTACTTTCCTGGCTATTTTCCACGTCGAACATTGAACTATATCTGTTGAATATACAAAAAGAGAGCATGAAAAATCAAAATCCTCTGAAATTGAGAATTTACATTATCTCTCAAATCGAATAGAATAATATGATGTATTATGATATAAAAAAATATAACTCATTAATATGTTCAGTATTGAAATGAAAATTGATATGTATAGGAGAAGTATACTTGTATGAACTCTGATCTTGATGAGCTTGGAACTTCCAAAAAAATCATTCGTATCAGTGATATGAGAATTATTATATCTCTCACAAACAGGTTGTATGACTTAACTCGAGTAAAACTCATTTCGGATATCATATGCTCATCATTAACCCGAAGTCCAGTTATTCTTTCAGCCATTCTTCATGATGAACACAATTTTCATCTCCCTATGATATATAACTAAAACAATAACGAACTGAGATCTGAGATTTATAATTTGTTGACATAGCCACTGTCATCGGGCATTTGTTTTTGGATGTATGATGAATTGATATTCATCATACAGGACGTAGAAAGAAATTATGAATTGAGAAAACCTAATCACGAATCTGCGACATCATATAATACATCATATTATTCTATTCGATTTGAGAGATAATGTCAATTTCAGAGGATTTTGATATTTCATGCTCTCTTTTGGGATATTCATCAGATATAATCTTTATATGTAATAATCTTTATATGAGGAGGAATGCAAATTCTCTACTTCAGAAGATTTTTTTTGCAAATTCTTATCGTGTGTGTTCGATAGATGTAATTCAATATTAGTGATGGCATATAGCCAGGAAAGTAGTAGTTTTCTGTTGAATAAACCGAGAAAGAATCAATATTTTCATCACATGGAGAATGCGAGTTCTCAATGTATTTCTTTATATACATATATCCATTTTTTGTGTTCATATTTGAGAATATTCCTTTTCAATACTTTGTCAACATGTCAAAAAACAGTTTTTTTGGACTTGCAGACTTCCAGGACTCGCTTACGGTTCAGCCTAGAATTTTGTCTACTCGTCCAAAAAACAGTATTGTTCGGACTTGTTACGTAAATTACTATTTTCATCACCCAGTTACTGCTGAACGGTGCATTTTCATATTTACAGGGTGTCCCATAAGTAATGGATCAAATCAAGTTTGGTGGTAGGAGGGGTCATTTGTAAACAAACTAACGGTACACTGTAGAAAATTCCTCTGAGTGAACGCATAATGTGGTTGTGAGTGAATTTACTGATTGACATTTTTGAGTGAATTCTCAACTCAAACTATATATTTCATCAAGTTCTCATATGAATGAGGATGTTTATAAAAAATTTGATCAAATCGGTTCATGAATTGCCATTTTACACAGTCGAGTAGGGTGCAATTTCAACTCAATCGGGCGTGGACCGAAATTGACTCATTATTGCGTGGACCTTGAGTGAAATTTCACTCAATTTTTTTTTCAGTGTATATGTTGTTATCAAATTTGTTGATGGTTCAAAAGTTATTCGATTTTTCTGAAAAATTTGACCCATTTGAGGAAAAGGCTGTTTTGAATAACCCCATATATTATATAATACCATTTCGGAATATCTTTTCTCATGATTGGTTATATTTGTGGGGTAGTTTTCAAATCTGTCAGCGGCATTTAAAAATTGACTTAAATATTTCATTCGATGAAAAAACTCAAGGAGAACAACATATTTCTCAGGTGTTTGATAAAAAGTAATACATGTCATAAAATTATTTCTAGGGGAAGGTACATCCATTTGAATAAAATTTGTGAAAGAAAAAATCACAAATGTGACATAGTTTTATTGTAATTAAGTATCCTTATAGAAATGAAAAAACATTAATAACTTTTGAACCATCAACAATTGGATAACCACGTTTACGGTTAGTTTGATTGGAAATGACCCCCCCCCCCCCCACCACCCCACTCCATTTGGTCCATGACTTATGGGACACCCTGTATATACCTTGGGTGAGAATGCTATTATATATTTGACAGAGGTTACTTCTCACCCTAGGTGTATAATATATTTATTACTCTTCTGTGAACGCATTATCATCAGATCAATCCTTTCCTCGACATATTGAATTTCCTGTTATGCACGAGGCACAACCGAACAATTTCATTACATATTTCGCACAGGAATCCAGCTGGGTTTGATGAATGTCAACAAATAAAAGGCGCATGTCTACGATAAACACCCTGTGGACGCTACACCGGAAAAAGTTGGTGTTTTCACATATCATCAGTGCATACAAACGTACTCGAAGGTATTTCGGTCCTGAGTTTTCCGACCGTGACTATGTTTCAGTTGGCTGGGAGTTTGTAAACTGTAAGAAGTTTCTGGAAGTTCGGAGTCCAGTTCACAACGGATAGGTGAGTTTTGGAGTTTCAGAATGCGTGGATTTGCAGCTCATTCTAAAATAAGACTGAATTGACTACTGTTCTCATCGCACTAAATGAACCACCATAATTCGACTCTTTTTCAACGATCTGTATTCGTTGAAGATATTGACACCATAGTGTGATGGTTCCATTCCACAACCTGTGTTAGATTCGTTCTGCGAACTTTTTCTCTTTGAAGTCGATGGAATATCACATCTGATATCGAAAACCGCATGAAAATCGGTACATTTTTTCGTAAAATACGGGTCGTCGGAAAATTCTGAGCTGTCCATTTAGTGTGTTGAGATCTGTATTAAGAGAATCACATTGAGAAAATGCATGACATGACCTGCATCTGATCTGGACGAGTTTTATACTGAAAACTCAGTATTTACAGTACTAACTGAGACAATTTCACTCGATGTGACTAGTTTGGGAAGTTGGAAATTGTTGCTATTAGTATACCAGCCATTGAAAACCGTGTTCTCTGATAATTTATGCTCGACAGGGCGTGAAGTTGCTTCATCTATTCACTGCATCTAAATTAAGCGTTCTGCTCTCTCATCTGAGGACACAAACCTGTCAATTTACTACCACGGGAGGAAAAAAGCTATTACCTCCCGTGGAAGATGAAATAAATTGGCTTTAGATTGCTTCCTTAGTAGAGATATATGAATAAGATAAGGTAAAAGACAGAACTATGAGAAGATATTCAGAACAGAGTGGTATATTCTGCTAGACTATCTCACGTTTACGAATCATAGGAAGCATTTTACGCCAAATTGTGTTATATAAATTACAACCATTTCAAGTTGTATTCCTTCAGTCACCTACGAGTAGAGCTACTCAACGGAATGCTTGATGATTATAGTACAGAGTGTTCTCAAAAAATCTGTACAGAATCCCAGTTCATATTTCAGAGGTCCAAATAAGCCGATTTGAAGCAACTTATCTCAGTCCGAAATTGCTTCGTTTCCGAGTCGAATTTCATGAATTTTATGAAGATTTTATTGCTAATCACTTCAAAAATTGGTTACCTGGGATTCTTGTGACCATTACCGATGCACTTCGTGAACACTTTTATGCAAAAACTCATGTGAAAATCCGCTAAAGTAAGAGTACTCTCTAAAGTTTGTCCAAACTTTCGCAAATTTTTATTTACATCTTCAGGAAAAATCTTTGTTGAGAATGGTTGTTATTACTATTATTATTATTCATTCATAAAATAACAAAAACTGCCTTGATAGTAAAAACACACTATACGAGTGAAAAAGGAGTAAATTATAGTAGGTTTTGTAGCTAGTGGTGGAAAAAATATATAATCTCAATGGAAACAAAATTGCATCACTAAGCAACAAAGCATGAATTTTTTTGAGTCGATGAAGTTCACTGCGACCCAAAACGATGATCATTCCGTTAGGTTCATAGAAATTTGGAATTTACATGTTTTACTTTCTTATCTTAGGTTGGTATTTAGTTTTATCCAGTTGTGACATTTGTTCATTTCATCCGCTATATAAATTAACATATTTCGTGCATATATGTAATTTAATACAATTCCTAGGTGGTGAGGGGCAGACATTATCATCTTGACCCGAGGTTTGACCTCTGGTATTTGTTCAGTTATAATTAGAGCGCAGCAATACCTTCTTGGTGTTGCAGGACTTGAAGGCATCTTGAATCTCAACTCTGAGTAGGTATTTCTCTTCTCAAGCTAGTATCATTTCCAGAGAGCAACACTTCCTGATCCTTCGACCTTATATCAGACCAGTGTAGAGAAGTCGGTAACCTTTCACTTTTCAAAAGTTTCTTTTACGGAAAACGTTCGACAGGAATCTCTGCTATCATTCCATCATTAGCAATATCAGTCAGACGAACTCGACAGGTTCAGTCAGCACATCCTTGCGTTGTTAACCTTGAACTATGTCGAACAACACTTAACCAAAACTCGTTCGTCTATAGAACGGTGAAGCTTTGGAATTCTTTGCCAATGGAAGTATTTCCAAGGGCTTATAACCTCCAAAAGTTCAAAAAAATTCCGAAACCTACCTCTTCCTACTATCCTTCATAGGTACGCACGATGTTCTTCGAACATTAAAGGAATTTTTTATCATGCACTCCAAGAGATTAAAATAACGTATTGCAGGCGAAAATGCACGCCATTATTTTGTGTTTGATGATTTTGAATTACTTAAACCAACTCCACACAAAAGGCATTTAAGATATTCTCGGATAGCCAAGCGGCTATGAAAGCACTTTTTTCCCTTACTACAAACTGATCAACGTCAACAGTGGTATTGAACTGTCAAAAAAAGACTCTACGCGATTGGAAGACTCAATATATTGTTTCTGGTCTGGATTCCTGGTCATTCTGGCATGGAAGGTAACGAAACGGCAGATTCCCTTGCAAGGGACCAGAACCTATTATTAGGATCTCACCAAGTTTTGCGCCGTGGCAGAGTTTGTCTATGCGCTGAAATTTACTAGATAGACGTTCACGATGCGAAGGTACTGTCGGTTCGAATCCGCCAATCGACTGAGCATTTTTCTTTGAAATGTGTGATTCTTGGTTGTAATCCTGGTAGCACGTCGATGCCCTAGAAGCGGTTTGAATTCCACTATATGCTGTAGATCCCACTCTTCCTAACCCCGCACAAGTTTCGACTTCTGGGAAGTTGGTTCCCAACTTTGAAGTAGCGATATACAAATTTTACGAAATTTTATATACTGAACATCTGGACTGTGAAAAGATTCTCAGACTTCTTGCAGAATCTACTAGCATTGGCTCATTCCAAGTCATTTATACATCCTGGAAATAATGTTACCAAACAAATGTTAGAATAACGCAAGGATGATCTATGCTCTCCAACAGGCCTATATTTACAGGCCTCGGACCTGAAAGATTGCACTTTTGAATGTACCCCCTTCCTAGGCGATAATATTTTTCAAATATAATTCAAGGTCTTTGATCCTTGATCCGGATAATATCAAAGAACTTGGCAATACCACAAACCTGTGCATGAGCCGAAATATTTTTCAATACAGACAAAAGTTGTTTGAGCAACATGAAGGTAAAGACATGGGTAATTGTTTATCAGGTTTCTTGGCTGAACTGTTCATGAATCAGTTTGAAACGAATGCACAAGAAGAATTCGAGTATTTCCCTACGGTTTGGATGAGATATAGATAGAGAATTGAACGATTGCTTCCCCTCTATCAAATTCACTTTTCAATGCGAAAACAACGGTCAATTACCATTCTTATATGTTCTTTTGAACAAAAATGGCGAAAACAATTTAGAATTTGATGTTTTTAGAAAAGAAACTAACACACTTACATATATAACTAATGACTCCAATCACTGTTTTCAACACAAAATGGCAAGTTCAAATTTCCTAGTACATAAACTAGTTTCATTTTCTCTGAGCAAACAAAGATTCGATAATGAAAGGAGTGTTTTGCATTGAGTGGCTGGCGTCAATGGTTATGATATCAAAATAGTAGATGAATCAATACGAAGACAAAAATTTGAATTAAATTAAGTTATCACAATCAGAGAAAAATCCCAATCCCATTCAATCCCAAGTACACAAGAGGATTTGAATAGGTTTTCAGAGCAGTGATTCACACGAGACCAACGAGACGAGACTTTCATAAAGTCTTGTCTCGAATCTCGTCTCGCAGCCTCGAGTCTCGTCTTGTCTCGCGTCTCGTACGAGAGTCTCGCAAATGTATCGAAATTTCGTCATGCATATAATCTTGTTTCAGTCTAGTACGGGATATTTACCTTTACCTACCTTTTAGGTAAAATGTAGAAGTAGGAAGAGAAAATTACAACAAAAATAACATTATTTATTGAAAAGTAAGTACCTAATAGGTACATACTCACATCATACATCTAAACAAGAAAAAAAACATAGCAGTATATATTCGAAAGTTATTAAAATAAAATAAAAAGAAACAAGTAAATTCCAAACAAATTAACAAAACAAAAACTTTAATCCAACATTATTCCGCCGTAAGAGATAGAATAGTCCGTTTTCGTTTCACGCATTACGACGTTTTACCACAATCATGAATTGTGTTTTTAAAGAATTTATGAATGAAATGTTTAGTATATCTGTGCTGAATAGTCTGAATTTTTTCTACATATGTTGTATTATGAATGAAATTCTCAAGTCTGCAGTCGACACGCAGAAATATTTACCTGCGAAACTCTCGCACGAGACACGAGAAGTCTTGTACGAGACTCGAGACGAGACCAATGAAAGTCTCGTCTCGTATTGTCCGAGTCTAGTCTCGAGAACGAGACGAGACCATGCCAGACTCTCGAAAACGAGACTCTCGCGGGCACCACTATTTCAGAGAAATAGGTTTTGATAGCGTTTGTCAGTCTGAGTCAGAGTTAGGCAATTTATTAGGTAATTCAAAAGATAAGGTGGACACACTTGGTGAGTCAGGAATATATGAAATAAGTTGTAATGATTGTGATAAAACATATATAGGCCAAACCAGGTGTCCCATCGGAAAACAAAGTTCAAAGAATACTTAGCACATTTGAAATATGATGATGAAGTAGATAAATAAGTAGCTGAACACATGTTCAATCGCAATCATAACACACATATCAATAACCTTAAATTAGTTAAGCAAGTTAATAATGTTGAAAAATCAGACGCATATGAAAGCTTAGAGATATTCAAGAATAGTAATTGAGTACTGAATGAGGATATAATGAACCAATCCTATTTAGCCCTCTGTATATAGTTTTTTTTTTTTTTTTTTTTTTTTTAATCGCTTGGAGCGCACGAGAGGGAATCCCTATAATGTTCAAAGAACATCGTGCGTTCCTAGGGAGGATAGGGACAGGAGGTAGGTATTGGAATTTTTTTTGAACTTTTGGAGATTATATGTTGTTGGGAACACTTCCACAGGCAATGAATTCCAGAGCCTAGCCGTTCTATAGATGAAGGAGTCTTGATAAAGTGCTG